AGGTATCTAAGTGGATCGAGAACATAGTATCCAAGCTACCGGAAAGAGAATGGACATATGAAGACTTAGTTACTGTTTTCAAAAGAGGATTAGAGAAATATCGAACCAGACAAGGAGGAAGGAAACATAAACGCAAGCTCAAAAGCTGGTGGGATAAAGAGGTTAAGGCAGCAATATCGAGACGCCAAGCGGCATCTAGAGAACACAGATGGGCAAAAAAAAGGGGGGCCACTCCAGCCGAAGTGACAGCAAAATGGGAGGACTTTCAGGAACGAAAGCGGGAGGCATCAGCATTAATACAGGCCAAAATTGGGAGGGCAGGGGTCCAGTGGATGATAGAGATAAACCAAAAGGATAGGAATGCGGCAAAAAGGTTCTGGGAACACATCAGTGCACAGGGAAAAAAGACTGAGGGGTACCAGCAGACACTAATCACACAGGAAGGGACAAAGGTAGAGGGGGAAGAGGCAAGGGAATACATTAGACATACAATCGAAGCAGCATTTTCAGAGCTAGAATCAGATCAGGCCATAGGGAATAATAGCATCTACACAACACAAGAGGAGGATCATAGTGAAGGAGAGGAAATGACCATAGGAGAATGGGAGAAAGCAGAAGGAAGGGTTCCGGCTGGAACTGCGACAGGTCCAGACGGCATACCAATGAGACTGATAAAAGTTCTAGGCCAAACAAGCAAATTGAAACTAAGGCAGGTGATTGACCAGATACTTATGGGAGGGGAGGTACCCAGTGACTGGAAATTGAGCAGGATGAGATTATTATATAAGGGCAGGGGAAACAAAGACAGTATCAAATCATACCGACCAATCACAGTAACTTCAGTTATATACAGACTAGCTATGCAAATCGTAAAAAGAAGAATGGAAGAATGGGCAGAGAGAAAGCAGATTCTGGGGGAGCTCCAAAACGGTTTCAGGATGGATAGACGATTAGATGATAACTTGTTCATAATCACTCAGTGCATAGAGATAGCAATGACAAGCCAAAGGCCATTATGGGTAGCATTTTTGGACATCAAAGGGGCATATGACAATGTGAATCAGGAAAAACTTTGGGAACAGCTAAAAGGGTATGGCCTAGGGGGAACCACGGTTAGGTTCCTAGAACGGGTTTATACGGAGAATAGGGTGATTATAAAATGGGAAGCCGAAACTACAAAACCAGCAGCAATAAAAAGAGGACTTAGACAGGGTTGCCCATTGTCTCCCCTGCTCTTTATGATATACCTCAGTGAGATGGAAAAAAGATTAGAACAGTGCAACCTAGGTTTTGACCTGAATTACATGGAGGAAGGACATAAGGTAAATCAACTATTGCCAGGGTTAATGTATGCAGACGACATTGTACTCGTATCAGAAAGCCGTGATACAATACAGGAACTGATTAGGATTTGCAGCAGGGAAGGGGACAGTTTAGGACTAAAATTCAGTAGGGACAAGTCGGGTATAATAGTTTTCAACGATGAGAAGGGGGGACCCCTGGAGATACAGGACACAGTGATAGAACACGTAGAAAAGTACAAATATCTAGGGGTCTGGCTCAATGAAGGAAGGAAATATCTGGAGGAACACGAGGAGAATACAATTAGAAAAGGGAAAAGAAATTCATCTATTATGAAGCTCAAGGCACTATGGAACTATAACAGATATGAAGTGGTCAGAGGTATATGGAAGGGAGTGATGGTGCCAGGACTGTCATTTGGCAATGCAGTGCTGTGCATGAAATCTGAGGTTCAATCAGGGCTAGAAATTCGACAAAGAAGCGTAGGCAGATTGGCGCTGGGAGCACATGGAAAAACACCAAATGAGGGAGTACAGGGGGACATGGGATGGTCGTCTTTTGAGAGCAGGGAGGCAATTAGTAAGTTGAAATTTGAAGAAAGGTTGACTGAAATGGAGGATACGCGGTGGGCACGTAAGGTATTCAAGTATTTATACATGAAAAGTTTAAACACAAAATGGACAAACCGAACCCGAAAGCTTACATTTAAATATCTACACACTGGTGATGGGGCTGAACAGACTACGTCAGTGAAAAAGAAGGTGAAAGAGGCGGAGAGGAAAATTTGGGAGGGGAGAATGCAGGAGAAATCAGCTTTAGCAGTGTACAGGTCACGAAAGCAGGAGATAAGAAAGGAAAAGCTATTTGACAATTCACTGGGAAGTGCTTTGCTGTTCGAGGCAAGAACGGGAGTTTTGAGGACAAGGACGTATAGGGCTAAATTTCAGGAGACCGACACATTATGTGCCGCCTGCCATAATGATAGCGAGACACTGGAGCACTTGGTTTTGAAGTGCACGAGGCTTCGTCCTGCCCTCCCTGAAGGGGTAACGGATTTGGCCGGGGCCCTGGGTTTCACTGGCGACGATGGAGGGATGGTAGAAAAACAGATTACAGTGACAAAGAGACGATTAGAAGATTGGTGGAAAGTATCTAGGGAAAATTAAATGATGGAAAACTAACTAGCACAGCTGGGAACAGGCGGGACAGAGGAAAATTGGGACTCCCTCCCGCGTGGCTCCGGCCCAAAGTCTCAACCCTGTCTCCCAGTGGGTCCGGTGCTGGGGTAACGCCGAAAAGGTTTGACCAGAGGAAAATTGGCGACTCCCTCGCCGGGGGGAAGAGGCAGGGGGGTGATGTTTTTTAGTTTTTTTGCCCGATCCCCCGAAGGTCATCCTGGTGATATCCCACACTGCCTGGTGATAGTTGGGGGGAGAAAAATTGGTCTTAAAAGGGCGGGAGGAATCACGTTTTTGTCTTTTTAGACTTAGGCTAGGTGGCGCAAGCTACCGCCCGTTACAAAGGGAATAGCCATTAACATCCATCCATCCATCCATCCATCCATCCATGCGCCATTTTCGGTTCTGCCGCACCTGCATTCCTTTCAACCGTTTCTTGACCGATTGCTAAACCGTTCCACCGACATACTCACCGACCGACCGACGGACTGACTACGACTGATTTACGGACTTATCAACGCTCTCTGTCTGTGTGTGCCTACATAGAGACATGTCATCTAGGTCGAGACGCCTTGCTCGGCGAGAACGGATGTATCGGCAGCATGGCATTCTGATGCTAAGCAGGGAACGCGTATTCCGAGAGCGCCTTAATCCTCTCGACGTGTTCGACGAGTTCGAGCTGCAGCAGCGATTCCGCTTCGGGTACGACGGCATCATGTATCTGGTCGAGCTTCTTCGGCCAGACCTGGAACCACAGACGCGCCGCAGTCAAGTCGTTTCTACGGAGCTGCAGGTGATTGTTGCGCTTCAGTTTTTCGCTACCGGGAACTTTCTCATCACGGCTGGCGACTACGTGCACGTCCACGTATCCACTGCATCGCGGATAGTCAGGAAGGTGACTGCAGCACTAGCACGTCGTGCAGAGAGGTTCATACGGTAAGTGGCAACATATTTATACCCTTTGTGGCGTTTAACCGGGCTATAATAAAGTCCTTGATTTAGCTGTTCATTTGATGTCATGCCAGCTAACTTGATGGAGGATTATGTGTTCAGTGGTGTCAAAGTGACACACTTGAAGAATATTTTTTTGCTTTGCCAGGTGATTTTTGATGGTGTCAGAATACTACACAATCAATATTTTGCTACAGCATCACGTATATTTTTAAGTAAAAAAAAACAACAATTGCTCGAAACCGAAACCGAACTGGGGAGGAAGAAGAAATGCAGAGGAGGAGAGGTTTGGCGTAAGTCAGCTCTCTCCTCCTCTATATTTCTCGCTGTGCATCTAGCCATCTCGTACAAACGAGATGGCTAGATGCACAGCCATCTGGTTCAAACAAGGGAGCCTTTTTGAAGGCTCCCTAGTTTAAACTAGACGGCAATGCAACTGAATGGCTGTGCAACTTTTTTTTTTTTTTTTAAATCAGTGTAAATGTTGTTGTTTACAAGACACAAAAAATGCGTTTCATATGTCTTTTCTATTTTTAATATTCAGTGTGTGCCTTCGATGAGCCACGACTTTGATCATATCTGGTGGTTGTGTCTAAACTACAGAAAACGGCATGTGACCGCGGAGAGAGCGCGAAACCCATGTACGACGAAACCGTCCGATCTGACGTCCGATCAGGCAATATGACGCTCGGAGGCGAGGGTTTTCAACGTTTGCCGAAGGTCATTCCGGCAGCTCGCACGTCGGATTGGACGGTTTCGTCGTACACGTGTTTAGCGCTGAAGAGAGTGAGCGCGACTCGAACAGTCCAGTTCTCGATCGGCGGTTTTCGGGTGGAAAAAAACCGAATTCCGAGCCACAAATTCTTTTCTGGGCAGTTGGGCTCTCACATGTCACGTACAACTAAAAACCTCGGCCAGCATAAATACCCTGTCAGTGTCCCTTTAAGATTGCCCACACAAGCGAGTGTAAAGGCGCGTTCACCTACTTGCGACCAAGTATACGACCGAGTGAGACAAGACCGATTTCTAAGCCCCTTTCAATGGCGTAGGACCAGATGCGCTGCTGCGGAGCAGCTCCAAAGCCGTCGCAAGAGGCTCAAAACGCGGTCTTGCCTCAGAAGGTCCTACTCGGTTGCAAGTGTGCGAACGAGCCTTTAGTGTATCAGTGACGAGAGCGATAATAACCGAAGTGGAAGGCGTTGAAGCATTCATAATTGTAAACCCTTAATATTTTCGCAATCGGTCCTAATACCTGGAGGAAATAATAAAACAAATTGGCGATCGCAGAGCCCTAAAAACAAAATGTTATTTTTCCCCTTTCAAACACCAATATGAATAGGTTTTAATTCCCATTTAAAAAAAAAAAACAAAAAAAAAAACAGAAGGAACAACTTTTGGTTAATCTAAAGTTTCTCAGTTGTACCTCCCTCTCTACAATGTTAGAAAATGCATTCCTTTACAAGTACTCGCTGTGTTATGAGCTCGTACTTCTCGATAATTTGAACAATGATGAATGAGGCATTTTTTGATCTACCACAACAATTATTATTTTTAAAAGGAGTCCACACAATGTATATACTTTGGTATTTCGAAACAGTAATTGGTCGTATTAAAAAAAAAGTGCTTCTTGTAACTCTTCACAAAGTGGGTGTATGTGACAATAATTTTAGTGCACAGATTCGAGAGCAGACGACAAATGTTTCAATGCAGGTGGCCAAATGAAGCTGAGGCGGCTGAAGTGCAGCAGCAGTTCTTTGAGGTGGCGGGCTTTCCTTCCGTTGTGGGTGCTGTGGATGGTACGCACATTCGGATTCAAGGACCGTCGGACCACGAAGAAGCGTACGTCAACCGCCATGGCTACCACTCCATCAACGTGCAGCTAGTGGTGGACGCTGCATACCAAATTCGCCATGTGGTAGCAAGGTGGCCTGGCAGTGCAAACGACTCCAAGATCTTCAAGAAGAGCGCCCTTTCCGTAAAGCTATCCAATGGAACCTACGACGGCTTGCTGCTGGGCGACAGCGGATATGCGTGCGAGCCATGGCTCATGACACCCTTCCTGGTGCCCTCGTCATCGCCAGAGGAGGAATACAACAAAGCTCACATCACGACCAGGTGTATCGTGGAAAGGTAAGCACATACATTAACATGATTTGTTCATTATCGCCATCTAAGTGGTTCAAATCATTTATATCTTAGTCACATAGAAACCCTCAAGCATTCGTCAGACATTTGGTAGGATGAATGCTGACAAAAATACAGCTAAGTGCATCTAATATGAATGTGAAAGATACATAAACAAAGTTGATGACGGCACTAATTAAATAAAAATGAAGCCTTCAAATAATTTAGTCTTATTCTTTTGCCTTGCTCCCCGCTTAAAATTGGCTAAAAGTGAACTATATCAACTAAAAAAGTGCACGTTACATTCATTTCCGCTTTTTTTACAACGTAGCTTTTAGCTCGAATATTATCTTTGGTTATTTATGGTGCAGAATGCGATTGAGAGAAACCATTCTTTAGCGTCCAATTATTATAATTTTACACTCTTTTCACATATATTGAAGATAATCTAATCAGCCTAACAAGTTTATATCTAACAAATTATGCATAGGTTTAAAAAAAATTCACTATGTTTGTGCAAAAGTGCAGGGGGTGCCATTTGTGCATTCTTCAAAATTTACCTTTGTTTTGATACAAAGATGCGAGGAGCAATCAGAAGTGCCCTCCAATTAAAATGTAAGCCCCTGTAGTTCATTATACATACTGCAGCATCCGGCCACTTTTGCAGGACCATTGGCCAACTGAAAAGAAGGTTTAACTGCCTGCACGCTGAGCTCCGGATGCTACCCAAGAGATGCTGCGACATCGTGGTGGCCTGCTGCATCCTCCACAACCTCGCCAAATGGTTTCCGTGCAGCCTTCCCAGCACTTCCCTGCCAAGTGAGGTTCCCACCGATCCCATAGAAGCAATACGGCCAGACAGCGTGGCAGCCCGAGCTGCTATTGTGGCCCGGTTTTTTTCGTGAATGTAAGTAGACTTATTCCATATTGCGTGACAGGCACTCGCAGACATTATGTTATAAAGTGAATGATTCATCTTTGTTATTTGAACTTGTTAACTGTACCTCTTTCGCATAATGTATTTTAAGGTTGTCTCAAAGAGAACAGTAGGAATGTGACAAGAGGATAAATAAAAACAGCAGTATTTTTATTTGCATACTGAAAGACTACAAGATACTGCATCAAACATAACACCAATGTCACATTGCCAAAAAAGTTATAAAATCATATCACAGTGTTTTTATTTAACAGTTATGTTTGGCAGCAAGTCGCGTAGCATTGCTATACATATACGTAATAACTGCTGCCAGCGCCGGCCCTAGGGGTGGGCTACCTGAGCGGTCAAGGCGCCATGAAACGGGGGGCGCCGCCACGCCCCTCCTTTCAACTTTTTTTTTTTTTTCTTTTTGATTTATATGAGCACGGTGCCCGACACGACGCTATGCGCCGAGAAACTGAGGGAGAGAAGGAGACGAGAGCGGTCGTCAGAACGTCAAGCTCTGATACGAATGATTAGTGGGTAGACTCAAAGCTAGCTGCCTTTGTCTCCATTATGCTCGTCGAACGCGTTAAAAACGCGGAACGCCGACGTCAAGCGTGTGGCTTTCGTATTCGAACGCGTTCAACGAGCGCAGTGGAGACAAAGACATACTCTGATACGAATGATCAGTGGGTAGACTCAAAGCTAAATAGCTTTGAGTCTACCCACTGATCATTCGTATCGGAGCCTAGCGTTCTGACGATCCCTCTCGTCTCCTTCTCTCCCTCACTCTCTCGGCACATATGCTCAATCGCCGTTCGTGTTTAGAATGTGGTTCTCGCCTGACAAAACGCTCCTGTTGGGCCACCACCGGCCACTACTGCATGTTTACTTACAACGTGATGTCGTACCTAGTAGATAGGGGACGATTGAATGGGTTAAAACAGCGCTAAAGACGAAGGACCAGTAAAAGGAAACACACAGACACAGCGCTGATTTGCAACAGAATTTTTACTTCTACGCCATTCAGAAAGTAAGCTTCAAATGGGGGCGTATATAAAAAGGTGGAGTGTGTATGTGTGTGTGTGGGGGGGGGGGGGGGATGAGGCGCATGGCCGGAGTTTGCCCAGAGCTCTTGTGGGTGTATAGCCGGCCCTGACGGCTGCCACTACGAAAAAACGCTTTTTGTTAGTTGTCATGTTCAAGTTTCAAGCTTCAAGTTTCTTAATTTCTAGCTCGAGCTTGAGCTTTTTTAACTTAAATAACTCTGCCTTTTCCGCCCGAGCCATCCGTTGCGCAATCGCAGCCTCCTCGTAATAGTTTTTTGCCGCCGCGGCGGCTGAGATTACTGCTTCAGCGGCTTCCAGTGCCCTCTTAGCGGCTGCTTTGTCAAGCTCAATGTTCTCTGCTTCACACTCTTGCAGTTCCTCACTTCGCCGCTGGAAACGACGCGCAGCCGTCCTGCACCAGCGACTTGGTCGGATGCCTGGAGGAGGGAGGGGCTCGTCTGCCCTAAGGCCAAGGTTTCCGGGCTGGCCAGCCTCCTGCCTAGCAGCCCGTTCGTCCGGTGGCAGCAGAACTTCAGCAGAGCCAATACTGTACAGAACCATGTGGATGCTGGTTTTAGCCGAGTGCGAAAAAGGCACACATTTTGCGTTGTTAAAACAATTCAGTTTCCAGCAGCCCATTTTTGTGTTAGGTATGTTTACGCAGTATTGGGAAAAGTAGTAAGGACTTATCTCGGTTGCAGTTTTGTGCCGCCTGTTTATAGTGAAGCCAGTGTCATTTGAGAAACATCTGTCAATAATCGGTTTCTTCACTCTACCCTCACCTCGAATACATTTTGGTCGGTGTGAAAAGATTACTGAACTTTACCTTACTATACTCACATCATCACTAGGCGATGTACGGCTGGAGGTAATTTCTTTGTTTAGCAGCATGTAGAAATAAGAAATAAGATATTTTTTTGTTCAAATAACTCACGAGTGTATCGCCTGTCCTTCTTTCTGCTTTATTACAATATATGTGCACTCACACACTATAAAAGTGCAAACAGTCCTTTTCGCAAGCTTTCCACAACTTCAAATTCTCCTGGTTTTTGCTACATCGACTGCGCAGAAAAAAAAAAAAAAAAGGCTTCTTATTTGTTGAATTAAAAAGTTTATGTACACCATGTTCCCAAACTGATAAATACATATTTTATGACTTTCTGTTTCCGCTGTTTTCCAGCTACCTTTCAAGTTAATAAAAAAAAAAAAAAAAAAAAAAAGCACGGAAGATTACATAGAAAATACCAATTAAACACTTTTGCAGGTGATAAGCTCCACTGTGCATCCAGAAATTCAGGACTTATCCAGAAACGATTACTGAAAATAGAGATATTGGCAACTGAGCCTCATTGAGCAGCTTGATTTTCCTGAAGATTGAATGAACGCTAGTTGCATACGTCTCGGTGTCGCCGACAATGACGTCATCCAGGCCACCCAAATTCGGCGAGTCCTGCCCAATGACGTCCAGCACAGCCTGGAAGATGGGCGTCACTACGCGCGGGTTGGGGCCAGCACCTGTTGAGTTAAGGCAGAGGAGTGTTCTAAGTGTAAAGACAACAGTCGATGATAGGTCAAGAGCGAAAGCAGAGGAAAATGAAAGGTGGGGAGGAGAAAGCAAGCTAGAGAGAGCCCCCGGGGGGAAACCTCGTCTATTCTACAGAGCCCCCTGATTCCTTTCCCCACCCTCCTTTCTCTCTCCCTTCATTCTTGACCTGTCATCGACTATAGTTTTCTCCCAGTAGACACAACACATCTTTTCCTAGTACTAGCCCTCCACATATTTTACTATATTAGAGTGCCTATGGTGAAGCGTAATAAGCAAATTAAATTTGCATGGGCTTCTTACTCACTCCGGCGCGTGTTTGATTTTATATCCTACGGTTGTTGGTATTATCGAGCTTTCTTTCTTTTTTTTTTTCCTAGTGAAATTTGCTTTATCGCAGGTTCAAGTTCTATACTTTGCCTGACTGCACTCCCACTATGAATGTAGACAAGGCCCTATGAGCTCTATAACATTCTTGGGGGGGGGGGGGGGGGGGTACTCACCAGTTCGTTGTTCATGCGCTCGGAAGAGCGCATACATGTCTCTGGCTTTCTTTACCAACTTCCGCCATGCCTCCTGCAGCTGCCGTGCACTCCGCGGAAAGCTTATGTCATTGACAATATCTTCCCATTCCTGTCTCTTCGTTCGCCAGGTAACTGTGCTGCTGAATTTCTCTAGAATTTGTTGTTTTCGTTCTCCAATTGCTCTAATTAATTCCATTTGTTGATCCAAAGTCATTTTAGGTGTTTGCATTTGAGAGATGGTTTGCGATGTCGACGCCTGACTCATTTTTGCATTCGGTTGTGATCGTCTGCTATTCATACTAAAATTCAACAAGTAATTTGTTAATATTCCAAAACGATTGCCAAAGCGAGATGTAAAGAGTAAAAATATAACTTTTATCACATTCAATGCAAGTAAAAGTATAATCTTTTTTATTTCGGTGTTACGACGTTGTCAGACGTTTGACTTGCTGCCTTGCTTGTAGGATTTCGCGCAATCAATGCATCCACGGCTGTTATTTTGTGTGTGTGTGTGTGTGTGTGTGTATATTTCGGGGAATATATATATATTTTTTAATTGTCACAACTGCGGTTTCTAGTTTTACTAAATAGGAGTCTCCTGTTATTGAAAAGAGTCGTAGCAAGAGCGTTGCGGAGTCATGCGGTTTAGAGAAGCTCGTTTTAGCGAACGCCGTTTTACCGACCCCAGTTTATCGAATCCCTTTGTAGAGAACCCAGTTTAGAGAAAATGGCGATGAGCTTCCTTTTAGCGAATTCGGCCGCCGCGAAGCGGCGTGTATGGCTAAATCAGGTGAGTTAACATTTTTGTAATGAGCCGCCGTAGACTGCCGCCGCGAAGCGGCGGGAGCGCAGCAGGGGGCTTGGGTTAACACGCGCACCAGTGATACACGCGCGAAGTAGGAAAGCCGTTTTTAAATATTGTTCCCTTTTCGATAAACGGCGTTTCTCTAAACTGAGTCTCTTCTTTCTCTAAACCATGCTTCGTTAAAAGGAGCCCGTTCTCTAAAACGTGCTTCGATGAAATGGCATTCGATCAACTGTAGTAAACCCAGAGCGTTGTATATTTAAAAACACATAAAATTGTAGTTGCTGGGAAAGGATGCTTGTTTCGACCCCGTTTTGAGAAAGTCATACCGATGCTGTAATCTTCGTGTCCTTTTAATGAAAATTATGAAACGTTCGTATTTGCGCGTTAACATCGCTTGATCTTGGTTTCCTTTCAATGAACATTATGAAACGATTGTAGTAGGGCGTTAACTTGGCTTGCCGTAATCTTTTTTTCTTCCGGTTTGTCGACCCAACAGGTGGGGCAAACATTAAAAACCGTGTAAGGCGCAGTACTCCAAGTGGATGAGTAGTAAAAAAGATTACACTTAAAAATAAAAAAAAGAAACACGCGCAAAGTTAGCAAAAAAAAAAAAGTATCTACCGCGATTCGAACCCGGAACTTTCCCAACGCGACGACAAGTCCCGGCGCTCTAACCACTCGACCAAACGGCCTTTTTTTTTTTTTTATATCTTTATTACTTGTTTTACAAATACCAGATCACACGATCAGTCATACCTGTATGTACAGTCAAACATGCGCTAAAAGCAACCTATTTACAAACAACTATCACACGTTTCCTTTTTTCTCATTTGGCATCTTGAACATGTGGCCATTAGAAATACCTTAGAGAAAATTACAAAAACTTGTAGTTGAGACATTTGAGCGAAAGTCACTCACGCGCAAGGTACATTTTTATCAAAAATCCGGAAGCCCAAGGCATGCATCAAACATGGGGAACCAGTCAGGTTGGCTTAGTTTTAAAACATAGATACTTCTGACTTGCGCCACTTGTTGTAAAAAAAAGCGATTTCGTGGTGCGTGGTTTCTCCGCATGCCTATCTATCATACGACACTTCCAGAGACTATGTAATCCCAGAAGCGCGAACATGTCATACGGGACGGTCTCGTTTTCTGAAAACGGTAGGAAGCGAAGGCTGTAATCGTTGAGGACTAAGTCTTTTTTTAGCGTGCGTTGTAGCACGTCCCAAAATAAAAACGCGTCATTGCAGTATATAAAACAGTGCTCTATCGTCTCTGGCTTATTACATAATCTACAATTAACTGTCCAGGGAACAAATATTCCCCTTTTTTGGAGATAAGTTTTTACGGGCAAAGTGGACGTATGGAGTTTAAAGAAAAACGTCTTGGTTGACGGAGGCACTCCCATTTTCTTTACTCTTTTAAATACGTCACTGATGGGTTCCAGCGTGAAGCGGGTACGATAAAGTGGAAGAGAAAACAGGCTTTCGGTAATGCTTCTTGACAATTCCTTTCTGGACACACTGAACAGATATTCCAGTGAAAACCTCGCTTTGAGAAAGCTAAATGTGTCTACCACCTCCTTTAGAAAGCCCCAAGGCCTACCTTGGAAAATTTCGCCACTTGAAACAACCAGATAATTTAAACTCTCAGCAAGACGTCGTTGGAGCATTACTCTGAGGAAATCGTGATTGGCATTCTTAAAGAAAAAAAATCGGGAGACCAACTGACGGACAAATACATGGCACAATCCTAAACCGCCATATTCAAGGGGAAGGAAAAGGTTATCCCTTTTTATGGGTTCCCAAGTTGAACACCATATAAACGTAGCAAATATTCGATGAATTTTTTGGATGTTGGTTCGAGAGCAATGAAGTACCTGGAGCACGTACATAAGTTTTGAAGCCAGAAATATATTACAAACGCTGGCTCTAGCGAAAATTGAAATGTCTCTTCCTTTCCACGCGTCTGTTTTTCTTTTCAATGTGGTTGCCAGGGAAGACCAGTAGGTTACGCTACTACGAATTTGTGCGAGCGGTACTCCGAGATAGGTAAGGGGACTCCTGTTCCACGCTATCCCAGCAAAAAAACGGGGTTTCGTGGCCCAGGAACCATACCAGTAACCGTTGCATTTCGATGGGTTTACTGAGGCTCCTGTTACCGCGCAATAATGCGCTGTGAGATCAAGTGCCTTCTCAACGCTTCTCTTGTCCGAACAGAAAAATGCAACATCGTCTGCGTAGGCGAGGACTTTAACCTTAACATTGGCCAGCGAGTATCCTTGAACATCGTCGCTCCTAAGGACGCTAAGGCACAACGGCTCTAAGTACAGGGCGAAAAGAAGCGGGGATAGCGGGCAGCCCTGCCTAACGGAAGATTGTATTTTAATCTCGTCAGATAGCATACCATTTACGATGAGCCTTGTAGAACAATTGAAATAGCATAGCTGGATTCCATCTAAGAGTGTCGCCCCCACGTTGACATGCTTAAGCAACGCAAATAAAAATGAGTGACTCACGCGGTCAAAAGCCTTTGTGAGATCTATCTGTACAAATGCAACCTGGTCACTGTTGTCAGACGCACACTCCAGTACTG